CTACACCTCTTCCTCCTCCTACACATGTATCCCTACACCTCTTCCTCCTCCTACACATGTATCCCCTACACCTCTTCCTCCTCCTACAACATGTATCCCCTACACCTCTTCCTCCCCTACACTTGTATCCCCTACACCTCTTCCTCCTCCTACACATGTATCCCCTACACCTCTTCCTCCTCCTACACATGTATCCCCTACACCTCTTCCTCCTCTCACATGTATCCCCTACACCTCTTCCTCCTCCTACACATGTATCCCCTACACCTCTTCCTCCTCCTACACATGTATCCCCTACACCTCTTCCTCCTCCTACACATGTATCCCCTACACCTCTTCCTCCTCCTACACATGTATCCCCTACACCTTTCCTCCTCCTACACATGTATCCCTACACCTCTTCCTCCTCCTACACATGTATCCCCTACACCTCTTCCTCCTCCTACACATGTATCCCCTACACCTCTTCCTCCTCCTACACATGTATCCCCTACACCTCTTCCTCCTCCTACACATGTATCCCCTACACCTCTTCCTCCTCCTACACATGTATCCCCTACACCTCTTCCTCCTCCTACACATGTATCCCCTACACCTCTTCCTCCTCCTACACTCTGTATCCCCTACACCTCTTCCTCCTCCTACACATGTATCCCCTACACCTCTTCCTCCTCTCTACACATGTATCCCCTACACCTCTTCCTCCTCCTACACATGTATCCCCTACACCTCTTCCTCCTCCTACACATGTATCCCCTACACCTCTTCCTCCTCCTACACATGTATCCCCTACACCTCTTCCTCTCCTACACATGTATCCCCTACACCTCTTCCTCCTCCTACACATGTATCCCCTACACCTCTTCCTCCTCCTACACATGTATCCCCTACACCTCTTCCTCCTCCTACACTTGTATCCCCTACACCTCTTCCTCCTCCTACACATGTATCCCCTACACCTCTTCCTCCTCCTACACATGTATCCCCTACACCTCTTCCTCCTCCTACACATGTATCCCCTACACCTCTTCCTCTCCTACACATGTATCCCCTACACCTCTTCCTCCTCCTACACATGTATCCCCTACACCTCTTCCTCCTCCTACACATGTATCCCCTACACCTCTTCCTCTTCCTACATATGTATCCCCTACACCTCTTCCTCCTCCTACACATGTATCCCCTACACCTCTTCCTCCTCCTACACATGTATCCCCTACACCTCTTCCTCCTCTACACATGTATCCCCTACACCTCTTCCTCCTCCTACACATGTATCCCCTACGCCTCTTCCTCCTCCTACACATGTATCCCCTACACCTCTTCCTCCTCCTACACTTGTATCCCCTACACCTCTTCCTCCTCCTACACTTGTATCCCCTACACCTCTTCCTCCTCCTACACATGTATCCCCTACACCTCTTCCTCCTCCTACACATGTATCCCCTACACCTCTTCCTCCTCCTACACTTGTATCCCCTACACCTCTTCCTCCTCCTACACTTGTATCCCCTACACCTCTTCCTCCCAACACCCCCATTTCCCCCTGATCACACGTGTGACTGTCAACAAAAGGCCCCTTCCTTGGACTCTCCCTCCTGACTTTTCTCATGAAACCGTGATCGAACCGTCCTTAGCCCCCCCCCCTTTCCGCTTTTTGCTAGTCCCTATCTTACCCTACATCCCCGTAGAATCCCACACTGCTTCCCTAAAAAAATAATCTAATCACTTTTTAATTTCATTTACCCAACCTCTCTACCCTTATCTAATCACTCTTTAATTCCACCCTTAGCCCATTTACCCATCGTGTCTACCTTTACCCCTTTCAATACCATAATATGCTGGACTGTTATACGACTTAAACGTGTAGAACATTTAATCATCAACCAACCCCCTTTTTACCCTGTTCCACCTTTCTATTGTGCTATATTACCACCACTGATATCTAGCGCATTTCTTTGGCTTTGTAACCATCAACCATTAAAAGACTGCATTAACACTCAAAAGGCGTTTCCAGAACACAGTCCACATACATTCAACACTCATTCACAAATCACAAATGAACGTCGAATATGTGAAACAAACCCTAACGTATCATCCCTCTCCTCGACGGTATACACAACTTACCCTTGACTTCAGCACGTACCCTCTGCTTTTCCACACTTATCCTCCCTTCATCCTTACAGAATCCCACAGCTTCAGCCTTGACAACCTTCCTCAGACGCATAAATACCCTTCACTTGATCTAGCTTTCTTACCTAAACCACCATAACCCTTTCACTCATCAACCCTTACCCATCTCCAACCTTTCAACACTACTGTAGATAGGTGACACATAGCAACTATCACCTGACATCCCCCTTTACTATACCTTCCTATTGTGCTATATGACCTTAGATGTCTAGCACATTTATTTTATCCATTAACCATTACCTTTGACTTTTAACATGAACAAAACACACAGCCCAGCGGACAGCCATCCCCCATCTTAAACCAACGCCTTGCCTCACATGACATGGTTTTCGGTCTAAATGGTAATACAATTCTAAAAACGCGATAATTCCACATGCGGTGTCTAACAGGTTTACCATAATTTACATGCCTGCCAAAACCTTCGACAAAACCCTGCATAAACGACCAATGTTTAAATATTATAGTATGAAATGACTTCACTGGATCTCTACAGGTATCACATGTTAGACTACCGTAATTCCTCTGTTTATGAATGACTTTTCCCTATTTACTCATAATTATTCTATTAGCCTTTGTCAATATCGGTTTCCCTCTTAGATCAACCAAAAGAACTGATGCCTAAACTTCTATAAAATACCTAGAGGAAATGGGTACACAGACCGATAAATGTGAAAAAAAAGAATATTTAGATACCATCATTGACTCATTCCGACTCTTACTCCCATAGATCGGGACAGAAATGCAGAATACTTTAGGTCTAATTACATCCTTCCTTCATATTCTCTAAATCAATCACAAAGCTAATCATACAAAAGGGTTTTCGAGGAGCACCTATGTAACTGTTAATCCCGATTTTTTCTTTAATTACTTAACTGTACTTGACCACTCCAGCTGTTGGCCCCTTGTTCGAAACTGACGTATCGAATTACTGAAAGTTTAATTCAATAAATGCTGTTCTGTGATTTGTTCGATGTTACACATCAAAAAGACTTCATTCAAGTTACAGTAAGTACAAGAAACTCAATGATAAACAATAGATAAACAATGTTTAATCTTTACGGCTTCTTGCGGACTCGTTGTACAGTCTAACAACAATAAATTCCAACAAGTAACACCAGCAGGATTTTAAAATCCATTGCAAACAACATGCAGAGCAGCTGTTAAACAAATAGGACAACCCACAGACACCCACACAGACTACAAATCATGCATAAAATGACGTTTTGTAGAAATAAAAACGGTTATGCGTACACCTTAACAACACAGAAGCACCCTAACCTTACAAATGCATAGATATGCCACATAACACACTAATAAGACTCCCACACACCATTCCTACACCCTTTTCGATGAATACAGACATACAGAAAGAAAGAAAAGGGTACATTCAGAACTTAGAAGTATATCTAATAATAATAAATAATGATATCTGCCTCTGAGTATTCTGAATGCAGTATTAAGTGACCGACACGGCTCCAAAAGCTCTAACCTTACTAAGAGAAAAAATGGTGTCAGATCAATAAATTTTAAAAATATATCTCTTATCATTTTGTTATCCTTCTGCTATTTTTTTCAGCATCCCTCTTTGCAAAATCGTTCTCTAGTTCAGACCATGGACCAAGCTACGTTGATGTTCACAGGGCAAATGAACAGTTTCAGTATATGATTAATTTAATGTTTTATAGGATATTTTTTCTTTACCTGAGATGAAACAGATGTTAAATATATCACATAACACACTGATAAGACTCCCACACACCATTCCTGTACTTTTCGACCACTAAAAACAAATTATTATAAAAGTGAAGGCCATATGATGCCAGGTGCAAATGCCGAATTTTTGTAAATGATTTATCAATCAAAATAATAATTACAACTTTTGCACTTTAAAGATACTCTTTGCTTATTCATTTATATTTTTTATATCATGTTTAATCTTCAAGTGATTATTCAACTTTGAACTCCTGGTATCTTATAGTAATACCGTATGAACTAATATTACCTTGATCAAGACTGCCAGTTTCAGTTTGTGCATAATAATTTCTTGCATGTTAATTCTATTAAGGTGTATGAGATTGAATTTGTTTTTATAGTATTTATATGAACTAAATGCAGAATAAAGCGGGATTTTGAAATAAATCTAATCTAAAATAGCCCAGCCGACTACAGTAGTCTAGCCATATCATTCTTAACGTCATATATCCTTTCCTAATCCATCCATTTTATCCAACCCACCCTCTTCGCTCCTGTATCATCTTCTCGCCTCACTTATCTCTTTTCTCTTCTTTTCCTCGCATCTTTTTGGCACATCCTTTATTCCTTATAATAGTTTACCCTGAATATAATAGAAAACGGAACCTTGAGACCACAAACTATAGTATAATTTCAACTTATCTTTTCATTTTCGTATCCATTTATATAAGCTTACGCTTCTTACGGCTAATGAAGAAAGATATTATGAAACAATAGCCTTATCCTAATTTTTACTAAGGATTTTAATAATTACCTAATGATATTTATATACAACATCCCTGACTTGTTACACGGTGAAGATAACCGCTGGTTACCTATATAGCTAATAGAAAGAATTAGTGATACTTTTACTAATTTAATCTTATAATAAGTTACTCTGAAATATATCACAAAAATGTATCTGTGTGAAATGAATAAGCATCTATGACACGTAAAAAAAACAGTATTATTATCCCTTACCCCCCCCCCCCATCATCCCGAATAACTATTTAACATTTCTCTCACTAAGAAACACAAATTCATATGCCGAAAAATATTTTACACAACATTATTATTTTTTTCCTTCAGTAAATAACCAGTGTCGTGTATATGTAAAAAAAATAATACTGTTGTTTTGACCGGCTGGGAATCATGGCGGCGAGGAAACTGGTGAGCAAAATATTGGAGATTTTTTCCTCATTTCTCGGTTTAAGACTGCATAATTAATGCTGGATGTCATATTTAAGATTGGGAACTATTGTAGTTTCCCTGAAAATGTGTTTTTTTTAGTGTTTTTAGTTTCTGAAGGAGCAGAAAGGGGGATATTTCATGCGTAACTAAAGATACATTTCTCTTTTCTTTTAAGTTCCATATAAATGATAAACATACATTTCCAGAAAGACAAAACCATATAAAATGTGTAATTTCCCATAACTGAAAACATTAATATAGATATACAACTTACACCATAAAGTTCATTTAGCCAAAACGATCAATTTCTCGTCAACGAAACTTCAAAATCTGCTCATTCAGTAAATCAAAATAATTGTCCAGTTTTCTAAGGAGGTAACATTCGAAATTCTGCTGAAAGGGATTCTATTAACTACTCTACGTACTAGGTCAAAGGTCAGCAAACCTTCTCCATAAATATTTGCAGGATCGACCTTGCAACAGGAACAACGAAGGGAAGAATAGAAAATATACGAAATATACAGTATTTGCGCGTTTTCTTGTTCTTCCCTCCGTTGTCCTGTTGCAATTTGTTTGTCGTGAATTCTACACTGGAAAAGCATCGTTTCTCTCACCAGCGTTCTATCTCGGAACCAGACTGTAGAGTTTGGTCAAAAGTTATTTGGTCAAATTCTGTCCGCGCAAATGTAGTTCTAGGGCAACTTTCCACGCACCTTAGATTAGTTATTTTTTAAAATCATCTTCCGGGCTTAAAATTCTTTTGACCTTTCCGTGCACTTGTTTCATCATCCGTCCGCAGATCCGTCTGTGCAAATGTAGACAAAATGATGTTTTCCGCACCTGAAAATTTTTTATATTCCCGCGCAAGAAATATACTTACAATCTGGTCACTAAATGGCTGGTGAGCCTTTAAACTTTGCAGCTGGCAAATGAAAGTGTGAAACGCACAATGCGCAGATAATTCTAAATAAGTGTAAGATAAATCTTAAATCACAAAATGAAGTATAACAACATTAATAAAAGATTTTAAAAGCATGTGTAACAGCAGACACTGATAATTAGCCAAATATTGTTTTGACAAGTGTGTAGTAACACATGAACTACTTGGGATATCGCAGTAATGAGTTAAACGGTCAGTGTTTTGTTACTCCTGACAAGGTAAAGATTCGGGACTTAGAATCTGAGTGGTGATATGCAAGGTATATTTTCGTCATTTAGCAGTGACTATGGGCTGCTGCAGCTTAAACTATGTTATCCTATTCTGTTTCTTCCACTCTGTAAGATGGTGGTGTCCATTTCCCTCTATCTACGTGCGTCACTATAAGTAACTTATACCATGTTAGATTTAATTATGTGTTTTAAGATTTATCTCTACAGTTCTTTAGAATGATCTGCACGTTGCATGTTTGAGACTTTCAGTGACCACCCGTGAGGTTTGACAGCTCACCGGCCATTTCTGTAATAGAAAGCTGCGTTGTGTTGATTCTGGTTGTTATTAAGATTATACAGTGGCAACAAAGAAGAAATACTTTTGTTAATATCCAATTTGATATCTAAGCCCATCAAGAGCCCCAAATGCCTAAAAAAGTGATAAAAAATGAAGCAATCCAGACTGTAGAAAGAAGCTAATATAGTTTGACATTTCCAGACATGTAATGTACTTACACACATTACATTCCACATTTGTTTATTAATGGGAATAATGCTAAAGCCCCTTTCTAAGTGCCAAATGAGTTGAATCACACTCTAAGAGGTTTGTGCACTCGTGGCGAGTCTTTTCCCTCACCCTGGCCTGTGCTCATGACGGCAAAGTCGCATCAGCTAGTCCTTGGCCATTTTGCCTGATGATGGCATGTTCACTTAACTCTGTCCTTGAACCAGATTTTTCAGTGGTGGGACAGTAACGTCATTCGGATCATAGGGGTTAATTAGAATCCTAACATTGTAGTTGCAAAATATGATAATTCTTTACCATATGGATGCACTAACCAGAGACCAACGGCCAGTTTGCTAAAATTGTGCGAGGCCCAATCCAGTTAATATTTATATCTATATGGACATGCATATACATAGAAATAAATGCTTTTCTGTTTATCTGATAGATATCTACTAGACAGACAGATAGATAGATAAATGTATATCTGTAGCTTCTGCTTAAAAGTACTAAAAAGAATAATGGCTTAATTTTATCAGTTGTAATGAGATTGTAATATAAACCAATTCTTGTAAAGTCTTATATTGTCCATTTGTTGTCATGTATATTTTTCATTAGTTATAAATAAATAGCCATTTTTTAGTAACAAAAATGCTTGTTTGTAGAAGGGAGAAAGGAGAAAAGGAAAAGATTGAAGAAAAAAAAATGAAATGCTAAATTTGAAACATGTCTGGCCATTGCCAATCACATTATGAAAATTTAATTTACTTGTTAATTACTTGGAATATCTTGGAGTACCTTTCAGGACATAGTTGACTCTATGGTTTATATGAAATGCAAAGAGTTAGATGACAGACTTCTTCCTCATACATCTTACCATAAAATCATATTTTTTTTTCAGAAACCAGCAAATGTGCATCATTCCTTTTTCTAGAAAAATTTCTGAAGCTTTCACCCTTTTTCAGATGCTCTCTTTTGTTTGTTTATTATTATTTTTTACAGTATGTTGACAGTATTTTGTGTCACAATTGCCAGGTGGCATTATTTCAGTAAATGCCAATTATTATAATTATAATTATTATTATTATTATTATTATTATTATTATTATTATTATTATTATTATTATTATTATTTTATCAGTATTCTGATAATATTGTGTATCATCAATGGCCAGGTGGCATTATCTCAATAAATGCCAATTTGTGCTTTCATGGATTTATGAAAACACTGACAAATTGATATCGCATACATGACAATTTTATTTTTCAGACGACTGGATTGACTGGTTTGGCTGTGGCTACCAGTCCGCATCATACATTGGGTGTTCTTTATGGCAAGATCCTGAGATGTCTGCAGAAAATGCCATCTGATTCTGCCTACCGGCGATACACAGAGCAGATTATAAGCGATAGGAACAATCATGTGAAAACGGTACGTGAGCTTTGTGAGAGTTTGAGTTATATCTATAATACACTCATATGTCTTGGATAAGGCAGTGAGTGGAATTTGTATGTGGATGTAATGATAAAAAGCAGGCAATTTATTAGTAGTTCATCCTACCCAGAATATGGGTTGCTGGTCTGTTCACCAGGTTGTCTTGCTTGTGGGTCTTTTGAACTCTCATTGAATATATTGTCATCTGGGTTGTTTTTCCTGGTAAAATGTTTTGCTTGTATGGAGGTGGGTCATTGGAATAAAATTCTAACACCTAGGTAAATTTACTGAAAATTAAATGCCACCTATCACCGGGAAACAGATGTTAGGTGGCATTTAAAGGCACAAGTAACTGAGAGCAACATGTTTATATATCTTGCCTTGGAATTTAAACTTTACAGAATTGTCTTTTTTTTTTTTTTGTCTGTGTGGAATTTCACTTATACATTTTTAGAAATGGAAAGCTTAGCAGATATTGATGGTTGAAACATCAGTATTGTTTATGATTCACAATTACATAATATAATCAAGTAATTTTTATAATATTTGTTGATATCTATATATAATATAAGTGTTCTGTTGGAATTCAAGGCCAGAATAGAAAGAATAGTCACTAATGTGTCAATTACAAGTACTACCTGTCTTGCCTGTTTACCCTTTTCTTTGAATTTTGAAAGTTGAATTTTGGGTGGGTGGGTGGAGTGGAGTGGGGTGGGTGGGGTGGAGTGGAGTGGGGTGGGTGGGGTGGCATGGAGTGGAGTGGTGTGGAGTGGGGTGGAGTGGAGTGGAGTGGGGTGGAGTGGAGTGGGGTGGGGTGGGGTGGAGTGGGGTGAGTGGAGTGGAGTGGGGTGGGTGGGTAAGTGGGGTGGGTGGCATGGAGTGGAGTGGAGTGGAGTGGTGTGGGTGGAGTGGAGTGGAGTGGAGTGGAGTGGGGTGGAGTGGAGTGGAGTGGGGTGGTTGGGGTGGAGTGGAGTGGGGTGGTGGAGTGGGTGGGGTTTGGTGGGGTAGAGTGGGGTGGGGTTTTGTGGGGTAGAGTGGGGGTGGTTTGGTGGGGTAGAGTGGGTGGGTTTGTGGGGTAGAGTTGTGGTGGGGTTTGGTGGGTAGAATGTGGTGGGGTTTGGTGGGGTAGAATGTGGTGGGGTTTGGTGGGGTAGAGTGTGTGGGGTGGGGTAGAGTTGGTGGGTGGGGTGGAGTGGGGGTGGGGTAGAGTGGGGTGGAGTGGGGTGGAGTGGGGTCACAAGACTTACACAATGATTGCTTTGTGGCTAAGCACTTGCAGACACACTTCAGAAAACAATGCTACAGTGAACACACACATTTCTTGGCAACGGTTGTTAAGTGGAGATTTATGGATAGTTTTTTTAAATTAAAACTGTCCCAACCTTTGTAATACCAGATTACATTTTTTTTTTTTTTTGCATGAAAAAATCTTTTCCGAAAGGCTGTTCAGGACAGTCAGGAAGTGAGTCTTTCATTTATAATGCAAAATTAGTTGGTGATGGCTGAGGTCCAAGTAACCTCTACATTGGGCCTCAGTCTCCATCTCCTAAGCCTCCCCAGGACAATAACAAGCAAGGGATCAGCCCCCCCCCCCATCTTTCATACCACCCTCCCTTTTTTAATACCTCACTAGCAAAGTTGGAGCCATTTATAATGGAAAAAAGTATTAGAAATGCAGTAGAAGCTCAAAGCCATTGCACAACTGCACTGTCTGATGATTCATCCAGTAATTTGACGGTGTTGCCCGCCAATCAGTCCCACTCACCTTAAGAAATCTAAAAAAAAATTATATTATACTTGTTTGTAGTCTGCTGCAGTTTGTGTAATGGCAT